AAAAAAAAAAAAAAAAAAAAAAAACTTGTATAGACATTTAATGTGTGTAAATCATTTGGAGAGTTTTACAAAACTTGTCATTCTATTCTATTGACGTGGAGAGAAGCCATCTATTATAGAGCACAATTCACTTTTATCATTGCAGATGCAAATTATCATGCATTTTTTTTCTTGTAAAATATGTGAATATAATAATGATCAACTTGGATATATTGCAACTCTAATAATAGAGACAAATAAACGTGGCCACTTGTGGATACAACAGAAGAAGTTGTGGTCAGGTGCGGTTGGTCCAATAGGGGGAAGTACCAAAATTGACTCCAAATCCATTGCACCAATCGTTGATTTTCGGCGGCTGTTACTGTTGGAAAGGCCTGACCTCTGACACGTGTCTTGTAATGGCGTCATCATTTGTGGTCTCAGTTAAGACCAGTCTCGAATGCCACCTTGCCTCGGTACTTACTCTTCAACTTCTAGGAACCACCATTTTAATTTGTATTTCGGTCTAAAATAATTAAATAATAAATTTATAAAATATATTGTCTTTTTTATATTTCCAAACATCAAACCTATTAATATTAAAAACTCAAAGCAGTTTACAGTACACGAGCAACCAACTTGTTGCAACTCTAACACACAACAAATGCTAGGAAAACAGAGCTACGAGGGAGTGAATATTACTCCCGTAACTCCCCCTTCAAGGCCTCTTTAGCAAGCTTCAAGGCCGGGTAAAATGACCAAACCCTCCTGTAATATACTAAATCTGCGGATTGTCCCTCTCTATTTTAAAAAATGTGTCAAACCCCCTTCTATTGTAGTTTGGCTAGCATACTCTCCCCAACTTATGTCTGGGAGTTAACACCGTTAACTTTTTTGTGAACAACCCGTTATGCCCTTGTCACTTGAGAAGTCACTCTCATCTGAAACAAAATTCATTTCTAACTTTTTAAATTCGCTCCCTCTCTCTTCTCTCTCTCTCTCTCTCTCCCCGATTGTTTCAAAAAAATACCAATCTCAACACCACGATTCTCCAAAAAAATTGTCGATCTTCAACTAATAATTTGTAGATGGATTGATGGCGCATAACATGATGCAACTTTATCTTCAATGTTCGAGCCGAATGGAGGAGTAATTTTCGATATTCAAAAGCTAGGGTTCAATTTGCAGCGACAACTTCTCGATTTTTCGATGGCGCATAAGGTACATTTCGAATCTTCGACGATTAAAGGTTAATACCTGGAAATCCAATAGTTGCATTTGTAAAATTAGGGTTCTTATGTTATGTGGTTTCGAAAATAGGGTTACCTGTGAAGTGCGTGCTTGTGATTTGAAAATTAGGGAAACTTGATTGCTTCATTTGAAAATTTGAAAAATTCGATATCTTCTGATTTGGTAAACTTTTGTGCTTCTGATTCGGAAATTAGGGTTTTTTTTATTATAAAATTAGGGTTTCTGATTTGGGAATTAAGGCTTTCTGTTTTTTTTTTTAAAATTAGGGTTTCTGATTTGGAATTAAGGCTTTCTGATTTGGGAATTAGGGTTTTTTATTTTTAAATTAGGGTTTTTTATTTGTGAAATTAGAGCTTTCTGATTGTGAGTTTAGAGCTTTCGAATTTGGAAATTAGGGCTTTCTGATTTTGAAATTAGGGTTTCTGAATTTGAAAATATGACTTTTTTATTTTGAAACTAGGGCTTTCTGATTGTGAATTTAGGGCTTTCTGATTTGGGAGTTAGGGTGATTCATATACTATTTCTAGGTCGAATTGTGCTCATTGTGCTCATTGTTTAATGGAGTATAGTGTTGATGTTGTTTTTTGGTTGAATTGTTTCAATTTATACTATCTGTATAAAGTACTGAATTTGTTTGCATGGTTTGTAATTTGGAAATTAATGTTGTTTACTTTATTCTACATGTATGTTGAATTTGTATCTGAAACTTATTGATGTTGTTTGTAAGAAGAATTTGGGTATTTCTGTGATATTGATGCATAGGTATCTTGTATTCTTTTTATGTTGTGATCACTGATTTCATACATTAATCATATCATACTTGTTGAATTGCAGAATATGGCTATTGTATTTGATGTTAGAGCTCGTGGAGTGATAAAATGGGAGCCCTTTGTTCACTACTTTGGTGGTCAAAGAGTTGCAGTTGACTACTATGACATGGACAAATTGTCTATGTATGAGATAATGGATGTGTACAGACAGGCAGGTGGCAAGTCATCCATTGTGGATATTTTTTCACACAAGCCTGAAAAAACTCTACAAACAGGAAAGCTGATTCAGATTGCCAGTGACAGTGATATTCTGAAGTTGGTGAAGAAGTATACTGGGCAATATGTCATCCCACTTTACTTTGAGGATTTGCATGACCCTCTACAAGAATTGGACATTGAGGGGAATTTTATGGATGTACAAGAAGAGATCCCACTTATTGAATATCCACAAACTGAAGAGGATATTCTAATTGACAATTATTGTCCAGAAGATGAAGAAGAATCATACCATGTCTAAGAGAAGATTTGCATGGCCCTCTACAAGATGAAGAAGAATCATACCATATTCTAATTGAATATCCACTTTACTTTGTGTTCATGCTTTTTAATTGTTGCAAATCATGGTGTTGTTGTAGGTAGTTTGTACTTAGTTGTTCATGTTTTATTAATAATATGGTTTATTTGCTGTAGGTAACTCCATTTGAATGGTTGAAGGCTGTCCCTGAAGAACACTGGGCAAGGTGTTTCTTTTCTCCTAATGCGGTGTGTGATGTGCTAGTTAATAATATTTCAAAGTCCTTCAACAACTATATTTTGGAAGCTAGGGATATGGCTATTGTGGACATGTTTGAGTGGATCAGAAGGAGAATGATGGCAAGAATCCAGGTGAAGAAAGCTGGAATAGAGAAGTACACAGAGGACATTTGTCCTAATACAGTGAGAAAAATTGAAGAGCAAAGGGAAATCAGTAGGAATTGTTTCCCTACTTGGGCTGGAGAAGACAAGTATGAGGTGGTTCATGGAGTAAACAGCCATATAGTCCAATTGGGATCAAGAAGGTGCACTTGTGGTATGTTTCAAGTGGTTGGCTACCCCTGTTGCCATGCACTGGCATGCATCTCTTATTATAGGTTCAGCATATCTGATTATGTGTCTGATTTTTTCAAAAAAGACATGTATATCAGGATGTATAGCCATATGATATTTCCAGTTCCAGGGATGAATGATTTTGAGGAGTCTGGAATGGGTCCAATTCAACCGCCTGATGCTGTG